AATAAATAACGGCGGATGGTTGTCCCAGTGATCTCCGCAGCTGAATGTTGATTAAACATTTAGTAAAATGGGCACGTTTGGTTTTAGGTTAGAATTTTATTGCAAGGTGAGGATTCGAGAAAATCGTTGGAATCATGTGAGGAACTTCGATGAACCGTCGGTTCGGAATTATAAACAGGATATAAACAAAGCCGAGTGTGTGTTTCATTTAACGCACATCTTCGACGAAAACTTTGTGAGGTTTGTTGAGTGACCCGCATAAAATCGGAAACAAATGGGGAAAAGTTCGAATAAACCATACCTACCATGGCCCAAAATGAATCTGGGAATTAGGCAGAAAGCTAATTAAATTTTTAATTTTTAACGGGAATGAATTTTAATGTATGTTTAATTTCACTGTTCAAATTGAGTCGATTGATCATATCATCAGAATTCCAAGTCTTGCACAATAAAAATAGACAAAGTAAAGAAACTGTTGTTTGTTTGTTGATCATTTAAATTCATTTTTTTTTTTTCAAATAAACTTCTACAGGCTACAGTAATACTTTATAAAACTTCTGGATTTCTCCTGAGTCGGATTTTCTTCACTTGAAATTGCTAACGTTTCGCCAATCATCCTGTTGGCTTCTTCAGAACTTGACTCAAACAGTTTCCGTCAAGCTCTGAAGAAGCCAACAGGATGAGTCAACTCAACAAAAACGCAGGAGGAATCCAGATGTTTTGTAAAAAAATGTGCCAAATATTTCAATTCATCAATGCACAAGCCCAACTTAATTTCAGTTCCGATCCCTATGTTTCCCTTAGATGGAAATGAATGTGAATATTTCCAAAATGAAATAATATACAACGTGAACAAAGTTAAGTGAGTGCTATTGATACGAGATTTCTGATTGATTTCAAAAAAGGTACTTTGGGCAAGATTGGTACGACTTTTATAACATAAAAGGTAATTATTTTTTCTAAATCCAAAAATAAAAAATTATAAGCCTTTTTCAATTTTGTCTAGTTAATATTAAAGGTCACATTGGACTTCAACTTGAATTTTTTCGCGAGATTCTGTTAAAAAAGTAGGTGAAAGTGGCGTTTAGGTGCCATTTAGAGACATCCCGCAGATATTAATCGATTGATGACAGAAACCAAAATAGGATGAATCAGTAAGCAAAAACCATATTTTGAATTAGTTTCCAGCAATTTGAATATCTGCTTCTTGACGGAGCATGACTCAAACGTTTGCGGTAAACCCAACAATGTAAGCTCGACGTTCACCGCACGTAACTGAGATTGCCATTTAATACCGACCACCATCGAGATTGATTTCAAATAAGGTATCAGTTCGTAAAAGCAATTTCATTATATTTTCTATTCCGACAACACAAACGAGCCAATAACTAGCCATAAACTTTTTTTATAAAGTTATACTATACTGTTTGACCAGGCTTGATTTTTTTAATTTAAAATCATGATTTAAATCAAATAATCAAATAATCAAATCAAAAATTAAATCAAATAAGAAAAATAACATAGTAATATAACAAAATAATATATTTATATAAAATATATATAAAATAATAAAAATATAAAATAAAATAAAATAACAAAAATATAAAGAACTTCAGAGCAGTCTACACAATTTAAATAAAAATTAAACCGATGCATAGTTCCTACGATTAATTAAAGCCGGTATTTCGAATCGCCTTAAGAGAAAATTAGGATCATAACAACTCTGTGAAAATACACCATACTATTATCCTATATTATGTAATAATGATCTAATGAATCTATTTCTTGTCTGAATAAAGGGTATTTATGATTATTATTATTGAATTAAAAGTGACAAAAATTATTCCACTCCCTAAAGTCCGGGATATCTTAGAGATAATTTCAGACCCATAGCAATCGTTCCTATTATTTAAAAAAAAATTGAGTTGATAAAAGATAAACTTATCGCTTACTTGAAGGAATGGAAATTATTAACAGATTTGCAAAATGGTTTTCGGTCGGGTAAGTCCACCATCCGTGCCTTATACACAATGAGCATGTGGGAATGGGTTTGAGGAGGGCTTGTCGGCTTCGGTAACGATGTGCGACCTCAGCAAGGCATTCGATTGCGTGGATACTAATATACTACTTTCTAAACTTGAATACTACGGAATTCGTGAAAATACCCTACAACTTCAAAAATCTTATTTGACCGGAAGAAAGCAATATGTTGTCTGGAATGATCGGGAGTCTACTTTGTTGGACATTACTAATGGAGTGCCTCAGGGTTCCATCCTTGGTCCACTTTTGTTTATAACATACATAAATGACGTTGTATTTGCAACAAATGCTGCTTGCAGTATACTCTATGTGGATGACACATCATTGATTGAATCGGATAAAGATCTAACTAATTTAAATAAAAAGGTCGTCACTACACTCTCCCTGATTGAGCAGTGGTTCTCTGCAAATGAACTTCAAAAAATGGAAAATGCTTACGTTACCATGTATGTTATATGTATTTATTCTCCAATCTTTAGTTAAAATCCACTCGAATTTGTCTGTCTTTCCGACTCATGCTGGCTACATGACTCGAACATGACATAACATTAAGATCGAGGTTGTGCGCTACACAAAAAATAAACTTAATCTAGATTTGTATAATGTTTTTGCAAACCTTCTTTTTCAGTCCAAAAATAATGATATTAAACGACTTTCCATTAAAAAATTTAAACAATTATCAAAAAAGTTTTTTGAAGGGCGTTGTTTTTATTCTATAAAAGAATTTGTTACACATCAGGCCCAGTGGACCTAGTTTACTTTGTAAATTAATTATTCTTAGAGTGTACCTATATATAAAAAGTTAAGTTTTACTTTCTAGTTACACTGGTTTAACTGTTTACATGTAATATATTTATCTTGTTACTTTCGAAAATCCATGAAATCGAATTTTTCGAAAGTATCTGCGCTCGTATAAAAATTTTATATCTCGGTAACCGTACGTCCTACGGGATCGCCGTCGAAAAAAAAAATTTTTTGTCTATCCGTTCTCCGTTCTCGTCTTTTGGTTTTTCCTGAATAACTTTCGAACCGTTGGAGCTACAAAATTGAAATTTGCTTCCTTTTTTTTGGACCTTGCTATGAAACACGATAAGTGTCCGAAATTTGAAGCAATCCACTTCTTATTTGGCACATCTATGCATCTTTGCTGAGGGGTCGGGAAGTATTTTAAAAAAAATAAAAATCGCGTGTGCAAGGGTCTACAAAAAAAATCGTTTGTCAGAAACCGTTTACAAGACCGAAAAAATTCTTGAACCAGATGAAACGACTCCATAAACTTTTATTCTTGACAATTTTTCAAATATATACAGGGTGCGCAGCAAATTCAAAAAAACTGAAAAATGGTTCCCCCTATTATTAAAAATTGATAATAATCTCAAATCTGTGTTTTAGATGTCAGTTTCTTTTACATGAGGATATAGCCCATATAGAAAGCTTAAACTTTTGTATTTACGGTTTTTAAGTATTGTACAGGGTGTTCGCGATATTTCGTGCAATATTAAAAAACATCATAAGTACTCCAAATTTGCAGCAATAAAATAACGAGAAGTATTTTTTTTTAATTTTTGATTTTTTTGTGGTTGTTTTGGCATCCAGAAAAACATCTTTTCCATCAAAGCCATTCATCCGATCCGAAAAATTTTACATCCGTAATACGTGGGAGACCCGGGGCTATAAATTTTGTTTCACGCATTTTTTGATTATGTACAAGGTGTTTTAGTTAAGACCCTGAAAATTGTTCTTTTAGAGAGTAAATTATTAACCGTAAATCAAAATTCGTACAAACAATAGCCACTCAAACAGTTCAAACGTTCAAACAGTGTTATAGGCCATATCAAGGGCTACAATTTTGGATTTACGGTTTTTGTCTATCACATACGCTGTTCGATATATTTAAAAAAATCCAAATGAAAATCACTATTTGTGGCCCTCAATCTAGATGCGATGACGTCATTTAATATTACCACGTATTGCATGGTTTCAGAAAACAAGTAGTTTTTTGAAAACCATTTACTCCATTGGAAAAATTCGGATACCAGGAAACTAAAGAGATCCAGGGCTATATCCTCTATTTCAAATATTGTTGGAATTATATACAGGGTACGTCGTTTGTGGGCAAAAAATTCTAATGAATCCTAGAAATTTGCGCTTTTGTGGGTGAATTATGAAAAACTTTTAAAGATGTGATAATTTAATATGAACAGTATCGTAAACTGTGCCGAGAGAGAGTTTAAGGTTTCGTCTATAACACAGGGGACGCAAGATATTTGAAGAAATATATACAAATTTTAATATTTACCGAAGTGTGCCGTAACTTTGAAGTTGGACGAGATGAGAGATGAGAGACGAGATCACTTTATACGGGGTGTATTCACAATCAAATTACATCGATTTTGCGAAAGTTTCATAGCGGTCCGCAGGAGCACGATAGAAAACAATGCGTCCCTTTAGGACAAGAATCCGCGAAGCGCCTTCTTTTTAAAATAAAAAGCTGATTCGCGCTATTTGCGATGAACTTGCCCCGCTCACCGACGATTTTTCGATAGCAATCCTGTTTGTACCCTTCCTGACTTGAAAAATACGTTTTTGTATTTATAAGTGGTCAATAAACGATTATTTATTTTATTATTATTTATTGTTATTATTGTTATTATTATTATTATTATATCTAAACTTATGATGTAGTACAAGAAAATACGAAAATTAAAACAAAAACTTGATGGCGACTACAAGAAAAATCGTTTCCGTTGGAACTGCAATGGCCGCGATTTTGGGGTAACGAAAACGAATGAGAAAAACTACGTCGAAACAAAAGGTAGTTTTATGCAAGTGAGAGAAATAAAAGGGCCGCTCTTTCTAGACCGTTTGTTTTTTGGCCGCATAGATTTACTAGACCGGGCCACCCCACCAGAATGTAACGTCAGTGCATCCAGAAATATAAGCGCTTTTTTTTGTTCCAGATCGAGCGGAAGGCGTTTCAGAGCACGTTATACCGTACTGGGACCAACCATTCTCGCAGCCATATTTTGATAATACAACGCGAAGGGAGTATACGACTACGGTCGGACAAACAGCTCATTTACATTGCCGGGTCAGAAACCTAGGAGACAGAGCTGTAAGTATTTATTACCTAACAATAGTTCCTATTGTCTTCTGGCGGACGCTGTCACACTGCTTCAAACTAGGAAAAAACGTTAAAATACAACTCGCTTTTTATCGAGGATTAAGTTTGAGGTGAAATGTGTTTTGAGAAGCATTAAAAATTGTCAAATTGATAAACTTTATTTCATAATTTTTGACTTTGTTCGAAAAATCAGAAAGTCATTTAATACCGAAAAGTTTAACGTTCATAATAACGTAGCTGTCACTATTAAACTACATTTTGAAATATGAAACCGAAAAATTCAGTTTCGAAATGATAAACATAACATAGAAAAGAAATGCATGAAAGATCTTTTTCTTATAATATTTCTAAAAATATAAATAACGAACGCAATTTTAATATCGATCAGTACTTCAGAGACATCACAGGCTTCTAAAACTTCTGTCAGATCACATTTTTCAATACCTTTCTATCGAACATACCATACAAGGAACGGACTTCAGTTCATTAATATTTTCATAAATATTTAATATATGACTCTGCGTTATCCTTAGAACACTATAAAAAACACAAAAAAATAAAAAAAAAGGATAATATTGCTTAAAATATGAATAGCATAAGCAATGTTTATATCGATCAGTCTCCATTAGTACTTCAGAGACATCAGAGGCTTTTAAAACTTCTGTCAGATCACACTTTCCAATACCTTTCTATCGAACATACCATACAAGGAAAAAACTCCAGTCAAGGAAATTTGATGCATCGTCTATGGAAACCTTTTAAAATGAACTACCCTTACTAGATTGGGCGGACAGTATAGGATGAGAAAATTCCAATATTAATACAATTTATCACATTTTTTTTAACAAAATGTATGTAATCTATGACTTTGTATCCCCCTTTTCAAAAGAGGATATTCAAAGAAATAAAAATCATGTAGCGTTTTGGTAATGATCAAGAGATTCTGGGAAAATATTTATTTTACAAAAAAAGCCATCACCTCAGTCTATTGTAGAGAATAATTTAAAAAATACAACAATGATTTTTCTATGCTTTTTGAAAAGGTTCACAAAAAATCGTAACAACAATATCATTGTCATTCAGCTACCGTTTTCAAGATTACGTAGTTAGCAAGATAAAAAAACTATATGGGTATAAAATGTCTAAATAACTTGTTTGAAATAAATAGCGACAGTAGAAGATTTTTTTAAAGATAAAAATACGAAATAATGTTTGACCCTCAATACATACATTTCCTAATTCATTTTTTAATTATGTTGTTATTATTTTATATTTCTGTCCTTATGTATCATTTTGTGTGTTAAATTTTCGATACTAAGTTTTCTTGTTGTATAAAAAATTTGCTTGAATGATTTTTGGGTGTTGATACTCTTATCGCATATGCAAAAAATAATAAGCAATAACTTTAAGTATTGGAATATAGATCAATTTAAACAAATTCATAAAAGCTGTACGTGAAAAATTACATTTATAGGGATGAAATTGCCCCTGTATTTATTGTGCGGAAAGGCAGTTTGAATGCTTAGTTTTGCAAAGTTGAAATTAGTTCGAAAATAAATATTTTAGTTCGACATTCGTATAAAAATAAATTTACTAATCAGACTTGTTATCAATAATGATAATGCAGATTTTTGTTAATAGTTTGCTTTGACGGATCGAAGATGTTGAGACATTTCTGGACAAATGGTAAATCTGGTTTTGATCTTATATTTCTTTAGAACTTGTGATAGGTGGTCAGTGACGTTTTGAATATAAGGAAGGACAACAGTGGCTAGTGTGTGTGTGCTATTGCTATCGGCCTCATTGCTATTGGAACGTTGTGATGAAGTGTATTAATATCTTTATTGTGGAAATTATTAGAGAGAAGAGCAGAGGTAACGTGTTTTAATTCTGGGATCAATGACTCTTGCTGAGACAGTTTTACGGCCCTGTAAACAAGAGAGTAGGTAACAGATGATTTTTGAGTCCGATGGTGAGGTGACAATGCATTAAGGTATCGGTCTGTGTGCGTAGGTTTTCTGTAAACACAATAAACCATTGTTAAGTCTGATTTTCTGATTTATTAAATGATAATTTAAATAAATGATGATGAATCCCTAAAAATATTGTGATTTTTCATATAGAATAGAATAGAGGACAGCTTATTCAAAAAATTACATTACATTATATTACAACACTCCTTGTAGTTCTTTATTACAATTTTTAAGTGGCAATTATTCTTAAGTTACTTCGTCCATAAAATTTGTTTCAGAATTTCACCAGAGTTTTAAATATATTTTTTTTATTTATTTAAAAAAATATTAGTTTGGTTTATTCCTGGAAAATAATTTAGGATAGAATAAGATTTAGTATGCCACTGAATTATAGGTAAAAAAAAGCAACAAACCCGCCTTTTACTTATTTTGGCATCTGAAATATCCGAATTTATTTGATCCCGACAATGAAAGTATAAATATAAATATTTTTAAATATTTATCATTTCGTATCTTTAAGAGAAAAAAACAAGTTACAACAAGATTTGCGTTTGTCGTATTACCATTCTCGGTGTTTCAGAATTAGTTACAGCTACCCTAGCTTTATAACAAACAAGAAATGACGTCACACGTATATAGACGATAATTTACGTTAATTGCTCTTATTGTTAGATTTAACAAGTTACTGTGTATAGGGGACATTCGTGAAAATCAATCGTACGCAGATACACACATACACAATTCTCGCCTCCAGCGACAAGGCCCCTTAACGAAACAAGGCCTAACTGGAATTTATGTTGCATGGCTGGGTACGGGTTATAGCCTGGTCAATGAATGCTTTTAACCTCACAAAAATTAACAGGTGATGTGGATAAGTAAACGGGTGTACACTTCCATTTTGAAAAATCATATCAACGCTGATGATTTTGTTTTCCGTGTGAAAACGGAGAATTTAATGAGATGACCTTTGTAAAAGCGAAAGCGAAAGTTCGTCTAGCAAAATTTCCAAATCATCTCCATAATCAACTCTGCAAAAATAATTTTGGTCAGTTTTTGCAATATTTTGCAAAGAATAAGAATATACTTGTCTTGAAATTTTAAAGAGTATAAAAAAAAAGAACGCGTGTGCAACAGTTACCCATAAAACTATGGGCAAAGACGGGAGACTTAAGAAATTTAATCCTAAACTACTTAAAACATTTAATATCAAAAGTGAATCATTCATTCAATATTACTTAAATAAAAAAGGAAGTCGAAAATTTTATTTTCCCTTTAACTACTTATTTAAAGATAAAATTAACATTAACCGGCTAATTACTAACTTAAATTTGACAAAAACGATTATAATCTAATACTCGCCTGTGACAATTAAAAGGTTATTAAAGGCCTACACACCAGCACTTTCAGTGCTTCTTTGAATACTCCCTATTACTAATGATACATTTGTAAAGTTTGTCCTATTTTTATTATGACATCGATTTTGCAAGTTTTTGAATAAACTTTATTCTATTCTACTGTATATAATGTGAATGCAGTGTTGGTCGTCCAGCTGGAAAATTGATAATTTAAGCTGTCAGGTAAATATGTATTTATGTTTATCATTAAAAAAATAATTTAACACCAAATAACTTCATTTGACTGCAGGAAGTAATGTTCTGAATGTTAGCTGTCACCATAGTTTTTTTAATAAGGGAAATAACGCCATATCTTCTTCGATATTCTTATTAATAGAAAATCAGACCTAACGTTGGATTATTCAATTTACTCAACTCAACGCAACTCTCTTGTTTATAGAGGCGTACTCACTGAATATTTAGTTTTCTCTCTAATAATTTCCACATAAGAATTATTAAGCGTTCCATCAAAGAATACACTTCACCAAAACCTTTCAAAGAGAATGAATTCGAAAGCAACCCCACACTTGCCACTCCTTATATTCAAAACATCACTGACCACATATCAAAAGTTGTAAAGAAATGTAATCTCTCGACATCTTCGATCTGCCAATAACAAACTATTAAGAAAAATCTACATTATCAAAAGTTTGATTTGTAAATTTATTTTTATACGAATATCGAACTGAAATATTTTTTTTCGGACTAATATCAACTTTTAAGAACCTATGAAAAATTGAGCATTGAAACTACCTTCCCGCACAGTAAATACAGGAACAGTTACTTACATCGCTATTAAAAGTAATTTAAAACATAACACATAACATAAACACATAAAGTTTTAAATAATTTGTTTAATTCATATCTACATTTCAAGTTATGATCTACTTATTGTTTTTCGCATTTGTAATAAGAAAATAAACCCCAAAAATCATTGAAGTAAACTTTCCAGATAACAACGTAAGCTTCAACTTACAATTAGACGACATAGACATGTAGTATGTAAATTAAAGCAAAATAAGTAAATGTATATATATATATATATATATATATATATATATATATATATATATATATATATATATATATATATATATATATATATATATATATATATATATATATATATATATATATATATATATATATATATATATATATATATATATATATATATATATATATATATATATATATATATATATATATATATATATATATATATATATATATATATATATATATATATATATATATATATATATATATATATATATATATATATATATATATATATATTCTCACGTATTGATTCACGGATGGAAAAATGTGATGACACTATATTCCGGGATATCATCCGTTCGCTCGTTGAACTCCGACTGGAATCCTGCATCCGACTGGAATCCTGCAAATCTTGCATCCGACTGGAATCCTGCAGACGTTTCGCCAAAATCTCACTTGGCATCTTCAATGCTCGCGCTCCGAAAACACTTCGAACACTGGGAGGTTATCGGCGGTGCGTGCGGTATTTATACTCTGCGCCGGAGATGGTAACGGTGCTGCTTGTGCGTGGGGGGAGGTGGCTCCGCCCCCTGAATTGTCGCGTTGTTAATTTCGCCCGATC